ATTGGTCAGAATCAAGATTCGATGCTCAGGGTAAAAGTGCCATGCGAGGTGCTCGACACTCTGTCCTTGGTGAGGAAGTAAGTCAATGGGACACTCTTCACTCGTCGGCCTGTAGGCTCCTTTTCGACGAACATAGTGATTCCTAGTCCACATGCCATGCCGGTGGAAGATCTGCGATGTTCTGGATGTCAATGTCAATCTGTCGGTTCATGTTTTGTGTGCAGACACGTGATCATTTGGCGTTGTTCGAGAAGTCTCTGACTTGCCATAGGAACTTGGCTTTGTCAGGAAGGATAGTGTCTCCTGTTTGTCTATCCTGGCTGTTTGGCGTCGAAAGCTTTCTCCGGCAGTGGCCTCATAGAGTCGCTTCTGGTGTTCTGGTACGACTGCTGGTGGTGCTTCCACTGGTGATGAGGTGTCCTCAGTCGCTGGCGATACCTCAGGTGTGATTTCTTGTTGTTCAGCTTGTGCTGTTGTTGGATTGGATGGTTCTTCTGCCGGACTCATCGCTGTTGTTGGATGCGCTGATGTTTCTGCACTTCCTGAGGCTGACGCTGGGGCTGCTGTCGCTGATGGTGCACTGCCATCTGGTTCCGGTGGTTCTTCCGGCTCTTCCACATCCCGCACGAGTTGCTCAAATGCGTCGTCGGAAGCTGTCTCCACATCATCGTCAACCTGGAAGGTTGCATTGATGTGCCTGTCCATCGGTAGTGCAATGATCTACCTGCATCGATTGTTCTCCAGTCATCTCTCAATCTAACATGCTCTGGATGGGGAAGATCCCGTCTGACGCTGGTCACTCTTTCATGTCGAAATCGATCTGCAGGCACTTCCTCAGTGAGTGTGCGTGGGCACATAGAGCTCCTTCCGGGCGATGTTGTGGAATCTCCCATGTCTTTTGATCATCACTCACTTGCCAGTAATCTGCAAGTCCTGCGTTGGCCCCTGTGTCCAAGTCACCCTCAGGTTGCTCCTCTTGGTCGAACTCCTTGTCTTCCTCATCACTGGATACTTCACGTCGCTGTCTCTTGTTGGTCTTGGTGAGATCCGTGTATTGAGTTGCGCCTCGGCTTCTGATGTCCTGTAGTGCTTGTTGCGCACGGTAGAAAGGATCATCATCAGGCGCTTTGCTCTTCTTATCCCGAGGGACTGGTCGTAGATGCTCTGGCGCAGTCCTGAGCAAGGCTTGCGCCACGCACAATCCAATAGATGGTTGAGTGAGGTCCACCATCTAGTTGTTCCAGGTCCATCCCTGTAGTAGTAGCATAGGTCACTGAGGTGGAAGACTGTGAGCTGTCCAGCGAACTTCCGGTTCATAGCTCGTCGAAGGCGGGCGTCGACATCTGCAGAGAAGACAGCGTTTGCAGCCGATTTCTGTTGTTGCAGCTTCTGGAGAAATTCATCTGCTGGATCCAGTGAAGGAGGCGGCAGTGGCTCTTCTGACAGCAGACCTGGGATGTGTGGTGTGTAGCCTAGAACCCATTGCGCGGGGCTGTAGCCACGTACATTTGTGCCTCTGTTGGCCAGGCGTTCTTGGCTTTGGCCTGGGGAGATGTTGAGCTCAATCCCTTGTTCTGAGCACCAAGACTTGACATAGTCCGAGGCCCAGCTACAATGGTCGTCCACCTGAGAACCCTCCAGTGCAAGGATGAACTCTTCTGGGGATTGCCTCCAAATAACACGACCACATAGAAACCGGGTGGTTGTGTCACTGACCATCAACACAGGGAGTGATCTCTGCATGCCAGGCATCTTGACAGCGCACTCATGGTCTTGAACACGCTCTATCAGGACGCTAGCAAAACGCTTCAGTTCGCCATTGGTGGGGTGACCCAAATTGCGATGAAGTCGGCTGATGATCCGCTTTGCGAGCTGCCGATCAGGTTGTTGGAGTCGTTGTAGTACCCCTTCCAATCTGTATCTCATCGTCTCCAGCGGGTGCAGGGCGCTGATTGGGCTTCTGTTCCTGCCACGGACGGTGTGTACTCATTGACTCAGACATCCATGTCCATGTCATCTTCCTCAAGGCCATACTCTTCACACTCATACCTTCAAGGATCCCACACCAGGAGTGTGATCTTTAGGACGCTTCCAGGTAGGCTTCTTGACATATTATACTGGTCCTATCTTCATCTCATAGGCGCATTGATCTAGTCGACATGCCCATCCAGGTAGATTGGACCAGGTCTGGGTTGTCCAGGCTTTGGATCCAGCAGGGTGTTCAATGGCTCCGTCTCGGCCTCCATTGTATTGGATGGCGAAAGTTCGCTCAGCCAACTTCAGACGTCTCGATCACACTGTAGGGCGAACTCCTGCTCTGGTGTCAAGGCATTCAAGGCTTGCATCTTAGACCACTTCTTGCAGGCAGGGGCCAACCAAACAAAGTCGGGGGCACATCCTCAAGCAAGGCATTTCTGTGCTCTGGCTTGTCAAAGTCCCAGCCCGTGTTGATGTCGAAGCTGTGGACCGTGGACCATGTAGCCAGGCCGCTGCATCTCCAGCGAAAGTCCAGCTTCTCGAAGAGTAGACTTCCCAGAACACCTTAGCGCCGGTTTCATGAGCGCGCAACCCTTGCTCGAGGGCCGTCCGCCGATGCGCAAAAATGGTGGCATGATGCCACGAAGAAGCTAGATCTCGTCCGGTAGCCTCCAAGTATTGAAGCAGAGTGTAGGTGGACGTATGCATGGTGCCAGACCTCTGCACCATCTCAAAGGTCCGCGAACTCCCTCATCGAGCCGGAGGTGATGGCAGGTCTCCATCCATGGTCACCGTAGGAGATGAGGTCCTTGTCCCAGTCCACCTTCACCTTCAGGGCCTTGAGAATAGGCCTGCCCATCCACAAGAAAGCGTTCAATCAGGCCGGACTGTCCGTTCAAATAGACTGGTAACTTCACCGTCCACTTGGCCTTCCGAAGGGCATCTCCTCCAAAGCCAAACATCTTTGTCGTGGGATGGAATGTGAAGCGTTCCAGAGGAACTCCATGTCGATGCATGTACTCGATGATGTTCATCAAGACTTCATGATCACACACCGTGCTACTGGCTCCTCCGTCCTGTAGACCAAACCATCCCTGCTCTGACAGCATAGGTGTTCCGCGTTGGCTGAGGTCGTGCATCATGAAGGCCTGTCCAGTCGATTTGGAAGCAGCGTCGGTCTTAGCACGTTTGGGAGATTGTGATCCCGTGTTGGAAGGGCATTCAGCTGCTGCATGGCCAAATCGTCCACACTTGAAGCATTGCATCGTATCCAATGCTGTGCGACCACGGTTGAAAGCTGAATCTTTCTGAGGTGGAGTCTTGCTCTTGCCTTTTCCTTTCTTGCCCTTTGATCCCTTGCTGACAGGTCGCTGGGTTGTCGCTGAAGAAGAGGAAGGCGACCCTGTCATCTCCGATTTTGATGTCAAAGAGGTTGGCAAACTGCCGTCGTGCGTCAAGATAAGCTGCATGTGCTTCTTCCAGAGCAGGGTCCTGCTCTTCCGACCATGGATCATCCTGGTAGTAGAGCTCCTCGTCCTGGCCAACGTAGGCGAGGTCATCCTCGTAGTCCTCGTAGTTGGGATCTTCTTCAAATAGGCATCTTCTTCGTTCTGGCCGTAGGCCTCCTCCGTCTCGTCCTCATAGTCCAGGTCGTAGTCTTCAGCTCCATAGGCTTGTTGAGTCTTTCTGGGATACCAACGTCCCTTGCCCTTGGCGTTTTTGTTCCATGCCTTTGGTTGATCGCCTCGGGTTTTGTAGTGCTGGCCCAGCAAATAGTACATGACCTCTTCAACTTTTGCCATTTTCATCTCTGGGCCAACCTGCGACTGAATGAGGTGTCGTTGTTCCTGGGTCAAATTGCTCCTTCTAAGAAGCATCCAACCACTGACTCCGTCTGGAATGGTGATCTTGTGTTTGGGGATCTCCCGCAACTGCTCACGATGTTCTGAGCAATACGACAAGAGCGCTTGATCGCTCTTCCTGCTGAGCTGGTAGAAGAACTTCTCCAATGCCCTCGGCATTTCCACACGATCATCGTATTGGAAGGCGGTGTCCAGCACTTCCTGCTCGAACCCGTCGGAGGCCTCTGTGACTTTCTCGACAAGATGTTCCACCTGCTTCCAGGCTGTTCCTACTTGGTTGACGGCTTCTACGTTACCAACATTGGTAGCAGAGCGCTACCAGGGCGCTCTAGAGCACTATGCCGCCACCAACCTCGAGTCCTTCGGCAACCTCTTCGGCAAGGAATGGCGCCAAGAAAGAGGCCATCCTGAACCTCTTGACGAGCCTTCAGGGGCTAGCGAAGTCCCCTAAAGAAACTGCAGAAAGAGAGGCCTCACACCAAGAGGCCACGTGCAGCGAACACGCTGCCTTTTCAGCAGTCCATGGCTCGTGAGCCACGGCGCCCACCACTTCATTTGAGGCGAGCGCGGCGTAGTCAGAGTTTCAGGTTTGCCTACCTATGTTCATGCGGTTGCGCGGCGCGCAAACAACAAGATCTATATGATATAGTATTATATGTATATGTATATATTCGTAGGTCCGCCTTCGGAGGTGAAAGTACCAAAGAGCCGCCGTCGTGTATCGCCCACGGCGGTCTGCAAGCGATGATACTCCTCGAGCATCGAACAACTCTAAAGAGATCTGGACTATCTCAGTCTATCTCATTCTCTTTCCTCTATCGTTCTCTCCGTCCTCCCGGCTTCGATGTGGTGCCAAATCATGGACACCAAAGGCGACCTGGACACACGGTTCAGCCTCGCACCCGTGAGGCCCCATCTTGCCTTTTAAAAGGCGCTAGCGTCCGATCGCTCCTAGTAGCGATGCCTTCAAGCTCTGAGGTTTGGGCCCCACGATTCTCCATCTTTGACTAGCATGCGGGCCCGAGGCCAGAGCGAGCCGTGATAGACGGGACAGCGACAAATGGATTTACGACAAACCTCACAAAGCTCCGACAAAACGCGAAGAACTTCGTGATCTGCTCTGCAACTCTGCTCGACAGCGGCTCTCTTTGAACTCGAGGAGTCGGGTCGGGTCTCTGCATGCAAATTTCGCTGCGCATCATGCGGCAGCGCTCAGCTGAGTGCGCGATCAGTCAATTTCCATGTCTTGAGGTCTCAAATCTTCATCGCCTGCTCCGCCTGCTCCGCCTGCTTCGCCTTCTTCATCTTCATCCCCTTTCGCTTTCACCTAGGTCGATTTTTTGCTCCCGACCCCCCAAGGCGACTTCGGCCCCGGGTTCCCCTCCTCTTTGTCCTCAGCTTCCACCTCCATCTCCTGAAAAAACAAAAAAATTGGAAATCGAGTTACTTTTCTTTAGAACAAATTGCACCTGTTTTAGGTTGAAAATGGATCCTCTCCAAAAGGCTCCTTCGGTTCCTCTTTGGGTTTTGGCTCCTTGAGAATCTCATCGGCCATCTTGGCCAATTCCTGAAAGCAAACAAGGTATGTTGGATCCTTATTTTTTGCCTGTGGCCCTGCCTCCTTATAATTGAGCAGGCGCGCATTTAAAAAAGTAAGGGTGAAGTTTGCTCCTAGCTACTAAGATGTATACTACAGTTCACATACGATTTTAATTTTAATTCCTACAGATTTGAAAAGGCTCCAGCTGAGTGCATGGCCTGATTTCGTTTGTCCATCTCGGAGCACGTTACCACTGGTTTTTGGTACTTGGGCATCGCCTCCTGCAAAAAACTGCGTTTGAAAACGGGCATACTTTTCGCACCGTCCGGAAATCACTGTTTTCTCGCATTTTACAGAAAACGTGGGCGACGAAAATTTAACTGTCCAAAGACCGACTCTTCCTGCTTCTTCTGCGCATCGGTGAGCCAAAGCTCTAACCTCGCTCTATCTTCGTTTTAGGAGCAAAATGCAATTCACTGACTCATGCACCATGAAATGCGTCATGCATCTACTTACGATATTTTCTTGGGTTCTTCGCTTTTGAGCATGAGTGATAGTGTGGTCATGTAACACCATTTCGACACCAAACTTAACATCAAACGAAGTCAAAACACGGCCGAGACGGGGGTTCTCCGAAGGGTTCAATAGGTTGCGCTCAGCTTGGATAGTCGATGTTCGCAGGGCCACAGGTGAGAAGCTTGCACACTGATGCTTGAATGGCCACTGCATGACTGGAAATGAATTGTTGAAGATGTATGTTAGTCACCCCACATGGTAGTAAGTTATAACTTCCAAATATGAGTTAAATATCGACACTTTATGTTTAAGATAAGTATATAAGTTGTAAGTAACTTATAAGTAGGTGTTGAGTGTGTGTGTGTGCCCGTCACACTCCGTATCCAGGAGCTTAATCGGTCCACCAAGTTTCCCACGTTCTCGCAGGGGGATGCCCCACACCTGAAGAGAGGGCATCTAACAAAGAGGCTCTTCAGGATGTGCGGATATCAGCAAAGACGCTTGCTGACGCACCTGCAACCGGAACTTTTGACCACACTGTTCCACTGTCGATTTGTTTCATGGTGGCTTTGCATGCTACTCCCCACAAACAGGTTTCCCTCCGCATTGCAGCTTGCCGCGCCACCGCTGTTTTCCGCAGACACGCAGAACAATTTTTCAAACACCTTCAAGTGTTCGGACGATTCACCTTTCCGTTCCATCGCTCCTTTTGACGTGGATTATGGTTAACTACAAACGTTGTGACTAAGTGTGTATCGCTGTGTCTTCCCACTGGGTACACAGTGTGAACCTCTCGCAAGAGAGGCGCTGAAGCCATTCCAGACTACCGGTTCTCTGACTTGAAGTGCTATCATCGTGGATCATGGTTTGACATTTTTTGGCCTCGCCCACGAATCGATTTCTCGCCGCCGGGCATGCGGGCTGGACGCCGCCGGGCATACGGAATGTTAACGTAGATCATGCCAGGTCATGCACGCCATGTCCACTTCCCATGTTTCATGCTGCGCCATTCAATTTTGTGTTCTGCCAGAGTTTAGCACATTTAGGGTTCTCCAGCGTTATTTTAATTTTGGATTCTGTTCGCACTTATCGTAGTGATTGCCACCTTTGGTTTCGGCCGCGCAGCTTCCTTCCGCTGGCGCTGCCGCCGCTGCTGCTGACATCAACGGCGAGTTGTATTCTTCAGCAGCATGCAGTTTCCTTGGCCGTACCCTTACGCGCCACCAGCTTTTCCGCAACCTACAGCTACTCCACTACCACAACCCACAGCGGTTCCAATTCCACAACAACTTGGTCCGCTATACAACCCATACCATGGAATCCGTCAGCTGACCCAGCCTGTTTGGCAGATACCACAGCAGGCTCCCTTTCCCAGTCTCATGCTGCGTTCACTCTCAGCTCCATCCGACCATCCGCCGGTCAGCTCCGTCCCCACCTCCACCTCCACCCACCAGCACTTAAGGCTGCATTGGGCTTGGAGCAGCTGTTGGGCAAGGGCGTGGAGCTGGCGCAACTGCAACTGCACCTTCAGCGCGCTGGCATCATAGTACCGCACAGTGATCCTTGGATAGGCCTGATCCACCTCTGCTGGATACTTGCAAAGTCCGCCCGAGCATCTGGCCTTGAAGAAGATCTACAGCTCTGTCTTGCTGGGCCTTTGTACTGTATGTCAAGAAGCAGTTGATCGTTCTTGTACTGCTTGACCAAATGAACTTGTACCAAGCCTTCATCAACATTCAACTTGCTCAACTCATCTTTCTCCGTGGCCGACATGAACAAGTGTTTGAGGAAGACGCGGAACGGGTGGTTGTCTCCAGCGCCAGACGTCATGTTGGCACGATCGCCAAAACGGGTTGGACCGGTTGAATGCGCCTATACAAATGTGTTTTGTAGTTTGTGGGTTACGTCGATTTGCATGCGCAAATGCCTCTGCCCCAAGATCAGGGGTTCGGCATCTAAATGTAATCATGCGTTGATGACTTCTAGGTTTATCTCATGGATTGCTCTTGGTTTGCATGCTCCTTTTGTCAAGTTCTGTGTGTCTAGCCTGGCTACTGTTCCCTGTAACAGTAGCTGAGACTGTCATGACAACATATACGTATGAAGCAAGTGAGTTGAACGTTCAATAACCATGACTGTCCGTGGTTCGAGCCTCACGTCGTCAAAGCTTAAGTTCCACTTCACTGAGTGTTTCAGTTCCTCAAGACTCACAACAAGTTTGCACAGTTCATTGACCGTCCCTCTCTCTCTCTCAAGGTTCCTGTCTCCCTGATACTCGAACTGATACAAATTTAGATGCATCGACGTGTACAGGACCTCACCATTTGATGTCTTGAAGTTGAGAAGAATCAGTGCCAGGGCCTCTTCCCCTTGAGGCGGGTGGAAGTCCTCCCTTTGGCGTTGATGCGGGTCCTCAGCTTCATAGCGACATTGCTCCCTTCTTCTTTGGAATCAGAGACAACCTTGGTCAGTGCCAGACCCAACTTCGCATCGATGGAGTGGAACCTTGGATCACCGGAATCCAGATCTGGATCATCGATTGCTTCCCTAATCCAGTCAATCCATGGTTGTTGATCAGAATCGTTCGCTGCAATGATGATTGCCCGAATCAGATTGGCTTTCCATAGTCCTAAATCATTTACTTTGGGCCATGGGGGTACATTCACCTGGATTCCTCCTTCCTGGAAACTTATTTGGCGGTTGCAAAGACGGGTGAGGATGAAGGTGCTGATGCTGCTTCGGACAACTTATTCCTAAGCTCCGTGTTCATAGCTTCATGTTCTTGCGCTTCTTCAAGTTCCTCAGTATAGCTTGCAAAGGCCTTTTCATACCACTCATACATTTTGTCTCGACTCGTTCTCAGCCTGTGTGCTTCACCTTCGTAATATTTGCTGTCTTCCCTTAGCCGCGAACTTTCTTCGTCATTTGGTCGAGAGGTTGGTAACCCTCTTCCATCACGACTATGGCCTGGACTGCGTTCTGAGTAGGCTTGGCCATGAAGAAGATTTGCTTTCATCTGCGCGTTCTCCGACCTTGTTTCCCACAGATTCTTCTCGGTCTCCCTCGGGCTCTTGGATCTTTTCTTTGATTCCTGCCCCTTCACGACCATCAAAGGCGGGAGTCTTCAAAGGGTTCTCTCGTTTCAATACTTTGTTGGCCTCGGTGAGGGCAAAGTTTGCGTCTTTCAGTTGTTGCTCTTCCTTGGCTTGTCGATGAATACCATCCATTGTGTTCTCGAGTGTGGTCATCCCTTCAGCCATCCTACACATGCATTCGTTCAATTCTATTTGAGCAAATGCCCAAACGTTCAAGAAAAATGTTTTCACGTACAAATGCCTTTTGGCAAGGCAAAACTTGAACAAATGGTCTTTGAACCATAGAAATAGCATGCGCTTTGCATCAAAGCACAATGGAATTCTAGCAACACCCAATGTCAACACACCAGAAATAGCATGCAGTTAGCAACAAACCACAATGGAATTCTAGCAAAACCCAATGTCAACACACCAGAAATAGCATGGGATTTGCATCAACACACAAAGGAATTCTAGCAAAACCCAGTGTCCACACACAAGGAATAGCATGCGAGTTGCATCCAAACACAATGGAATTCAATGTCAACACATCACAAATAGCATGCGGTTTGCATCAAACCACAATGGAATTCCAACAACACCCAATGACAACACACCAGAAACAACATGCAGATTGCAACAAAACACAATGGAATTCTAGCAAAACCCAGTGTCATATTACAACCTGTTAGAGGGGAAGATTCCTCAGCAAGAGCGCCAACACCAAAAAACATCACAAACTCCACATCCAGCCAGAGTCACCCCCATCATTTTCACTCCACAACACGGATGCCGAGCTTGTGTCTCAACAGAACTAAATATCTTTGGAGCCCAGTCTTCGGGGCTGTGCGCCGATGTGTTCGGCGGACCAGACGTCCGACTTTCTTTAAGAAGTCTTCGTCCATCCACGTTGCGTCCTGCCAGCAATTCTTGCGGCTAGGACGCAACGTGGCTTCAAGTAGTATATGCTGTAGCAGGTGCAGCTTTGGACGCACTCGAAAGGTGGACGGATCTGCATGGACCCTATTGATCCAAATTTTCAGGAAAAGTTCACCGCAAGTAAGAACCTGTTCAGCTTCCTCCGCACTCAAGAAAGCATCTCCAGAGCTGAGGACGCTCAGGAAAGCATCTGATGTCCAGAGCAATGCGTACTCGTGTTCCAGACCACGAATTCCACCCTCAAACTCTTCCTTCAGCCAACGAAGTACTAGATAAGTGTCATAGCCTTTCGCAAGCATCTCAGGAAATTCATGTTTCTTGAGTTTGAGGTTGTCACGAGTGAAACGCTTGAATGCAACACTGGCATGCTTCCAGTACTCCAACCGTGAACTTGAAGTTGACGTCAGAAGTGGCAATTGCCCTGCATTGATCAAAGCCTCCATGAGATCACGTGGGTCCAGAATTGGCCACTCCTCCAAAACCAATGACTGCTGGATGATCTCCATCAGCCTTTTCATAGGTCACTGGTACCTGAACTCTTCTGAGCTTGCAGGGTACTGCGAGTTTGTTACGAACAATCTTGGCATGAAGACGTTGTTCACCTTCATACCCAGTAGCTGTCCTTACAAGGCCCAAAAAAAAACACAAGGACTCCGTGAGCAGCGATAACATGCATCTTGCAGACAATGATCCCAAACGTAGTGCTCCCATATATCTTCCCTATCTTCTCTGCCACAGCTTGTGACAGGTCACCAGATCCAAAGGCAGCAGCAATCCTAAAGAACCCAGAATGGCAGGGAAAGAGATACCTTTTTTAAAACAGCAACCACATCTTGAAGAACATGTGTTTGGTAAAACGCTGGAAAGTTAAGTGGTCAAGAGTCGCTTCATCCAGCGCTGCGCGAGTGC